GGCACCTGCTGGCCGCAGTTGGGCGGTGCGAGTGGGATGCTTCACCGCACGGGTGTTGTGATGGTGCCTCGCCGTGGCTCTTGTGATGGTTCCGACGCTGCAGCTCACATAAGAGTGGAGGAAACGCGGCAACCAAAGTGGACTCTTGAAAGTCGGCTAGATAAAGTGCTGCTGGAGGGAAAGGAACGCATCACCAACATGAGGCTGAATGATTTCCTTCGGAATTATTTTGGCGGCAGGGGCGTTGAGGAATTCAATGAGAACGTCTATATGAAGGATGTTTTGGGTAGCCCCAGTGAGTTCATCCAAGAAGAAGTGTTATTGAGCACAATAAAGGCATCGCCACCATACCAAGAGCTGAAAATAGAGCGTGAGGAGTTTTACATGCTATTGGAGGCCTTACATAACCTTAACAGAGAATATATTATCACTCTCAGGCAGTGGAGGGACTTTAAAAGAAAGGATACGGTCATTCCTCTTGCAAGGGCACAAATAAACACAGCCTATTCTCAGGCACTGAGAGAAGAGAGACGGAAGGAAGAAGAAAGGGAAAGGCGAGAACGACAAGAACTGGGAATTGACGTTTCCACTGGGATTAATTATGCGGTGTTTAAAGGAAGGGTTTGCGTGGATGAAATGAAGCTGAATGACTTTCTTACAATGGAATTGGACGGCAAGGGCGCTTTGGACGCCAATCGGGATGTCTTACTGGAGGAGTTTTTTAAGGACCCCAAGAAGTACATTTGCGATGCGGGAGTATTGAACGAAATACAGGCATCCGATCATTATGCGAGGATGGGGAGGGCTGTAAGGGATGAAATGGATATGGAAGAGGATGTAAACAAGCTTTACGAGAAAGGTGTGGACAATCTACTGAAGTGGTTGGTGGCTACTGCGGAGGTAAAGGCAAATGTTCAAGAAATCACTAAAAGGTTCCTGGATGCAGCCGCCGAGGAAGCGAGGAACCCAAAGAAGCCGAGCGCACCGAGGTACCTGGAGGGATTGTACGAGTCTGTGTACAATGCGAGGTGGCACCATGTCGTGGAAGTTCCTGACGGCGAGGGGACGGGAATGGAGGTGAGGGAGGGGGAACCACCGCAGCCATGGACGTACAAGGCAGTTGGCGAATTTCTCGAAAAGGATGACGGTGTGGGGCAATCCGGTGCACCGCGTCCCAGGCTGCTGGTGCTCACCTCGGACAAGGGATGGCCGTACTCGTGGGAGGAGGATGAATCCCTTCGTGACTGCCATGTGAACTGTGAGGTGGAGCGATTGTGGCAGACCGTCAAGGGCGATCTCACCAAGTGGTTCAGCACTGACCCTGAGGCCTACTTTACGCCTAGGCGACGTGTGTTGATTGGGACGCCCGGGATCGGGAAGTCGATGGGTGCCGGCTCGTACCTCCTCTACCAGATGCTGCACTGCGATGCGGAGAAACTCCAAGTGGTTGCGTACAGTTTTGGTGGAAGCACGATGTACGTGTTTGACAAGACCATCAAGACGGTCACAAGATACGTGGGTAGAGGAGCATCCAAGGAATTTTTGCGGCATTTGAGGATGAATGGGTATGTTATTTACGATGTGACAAGGCAAGGGACACCGCCCGACGCAGGTTTTGCGCCCTATGTTGGATGGGGCATGATTGTGGTGTCATCGCCAAACGTGGGCAACTATGATGAATGGGAGACACAAGAAGGAGCGGCGCGAAACATCGTGAATTGCCCCGCCGAGATGGATGTGAAGGCGATGTGTGCATGGATGAAGCGTGACGAGACTGCGGAGAAACAGGCGGAGTGCTGGAAGATGGTCGAAGAACGCATGGATAAAGTGGGGCCGATTCCACGTCACGTCTTTGATGCGAATGAGTTCATTGCACACTCTGCTGCCATTGAGGATGCCTTGGAAGGGATCAAGTCCCGGGATGGTGAAGAGCACTTTACACATGGAGGAGTGAGACTGTGGGACTCTGAGGATCCGTCTCAAAAGCTCGTGAGGGTTGTCCGAGCAAGAGGAGAAGTCGGTGCTGAGGTATTTCTCAACGCACCGATATCTTTTTGCCTCGGGCGTCGAATACCGCACTATTTTGGGAAACGTGATGAGTGAGAAAGGTATTTTTCTTTTCTGTTGCTAGTATTGGGGAAGAGGAATGCTCTTTTGTCTGAATGTACGGGAAGGTTTGGCTTGCGCGCATTAATTTTTTTGGGAGTTTGTCGGTGCATTATTAGAGGACGTTAAGGAGCTGAGGCCACCAGCACGCCGTGGAGGACAGTGCGCGGTGCTGAAGGCGAACCCTGAAGGGCACCGCACCGAGCTATATGTGGAGTGGTTGCAATGGAATACCATACAAATACTAATATAAAGCATCGGCTGCTGCGCATACCGGCGGGAGCAAGCTTTCCGCTGGTGGACGGCTTTTTCTTTGTGGACTCAAATCCAATGACGCTGTTTGGGCTGCGGATGGCTACGGCGGGTGGGCACCACACCACAACCAGCACCGTGAGGCAGTTCACTGAGTGCCTGGCGGCATATTTTAATGGCTGGGAGGAGTTATACCGAGACATGTCGTGGGAGATTATTTATTTGCAGCACGCCGATGAATGGCTGGCTGGCAGAGATGTGATGTCGTCAATTCCAATAATGTGAGCGACGATGAAGGCCGTGAAATGGCGGCGTTCTGGAGGGAAGAGGTGCGCCCGTACCAAGTGTCAATATCATGCGGAGAATTTAGAAGAGACGAAGCTCTCCGAAGTGTGGAAGAACCGTCGAAGTAGGAAAAAAAAATGGGGAAAGGGGCAATTTCGATTTGTGGTAAAGAAATATTGTGGGAGTTATATGTTTTTGGATAATTTTTTGTGTGCATACGGTGCGGGTGCACCAGCACCAGGTGACAGTGTTACAAAAAGATGTCAGAACAGTCCAACGCTATCGATCATAACAGTGACAGAAGAAAATTAGGGAGGGAGTGGGGTTGGTTGGTTTCCGGTGAAAAACATTGGGTGATTTCTATATGGTATGTTAATTGTGTGTGCGCAAAAGAGGCATAATTGGAGAATTGCCTCGGTATGAGGGAATCATTGTGGCTGGCGGTGTCGCAGTGTTACTGCATTTTCCATTTTCTTCTATTGTGTTCTAAGGCCCATCACTAACAGAAGCATTTTTAAGGGATGGACGACGAAGGATAAGTTCTATTGGGGAAATGGTGCACTCCGTGTGGCTGCATGGAGTGAGTGCCGCATCCCATTGATGGTGAGGCGGCATTTTCGTGCTGGCGCCAACATTGATTTCTCTTGCGATTTCATGCTTGACTGCAACATCATGGCGCCAGGGCCGGTTGCCCTGTATTATCCGGGGAAGCCAAGAGCCAGCAATGCTGCCCTCATGGGATTGTTGTTGCTGACGCAGGGCTGACGGCATCGACCAGCGCCCGGACCAGCCGCGTATTACTGGGGCACACAGTTGTAACACCACGAGGTCTGGGGGCAGGTGTTGCCGTGCCGTCTGCGGTCCATCGGATTTGTTTGAGAGAACACGAGAAAAAAGAAAAACATATTTTGTACGCGTCCTTCGGGCGTGAGACAGGTTTTTATGGGTGGGTGTTTTTTTTTATTTTGTGTTTGGCGAGTCACATATTGGAAGCTAATACAGCGTCCAGAACGGTTTTATCATTGCGGTAATTATTGAAAGGCGGAGCGCACTTCTTTCCACGACGGCGTGTTCGGACGAAAATACGAAGCAAAAGGTTGCGTGCATGGTTGGCAACCGACATGCAACGCATTTATGATTTTGACTCTCAATATTTACTGCGGGTGGTGACGTCATCTCCAGTGTCCGGCTTTATGGCGTTGGCAACGAATTTATTTCACTGCTCGAAAAGAGGTCTGAAGGAGTGTCACACATTCTTGCTTCTGTGCGCCTGAGTGAGCAGATGAACTGGATAATGGATGTGGAGAGGAGCCGGAAGGAAGTGGACACCGCCCTACGGACTTGCAGGCCCAATGGCAAGGTTGATCTGCGTACAAAACGTGTGCGTAATTGTCCTGCTTCCAATGAGGGGCTTGTTAGCTGTTTGGTAACTTAACCGGTACCGAGCGGAGGGACGAGTACCTCTGCGTGAACGCAACCGTTCATGGGACATTGACAGGTGCGGAGCGGGGTGTGACGTTTGAATTCGCTGGGGCAGGAACTGAGTGGCTTGTCGGCAAACAGGCGCATAATCAGTTGTGTAAATTTGTGAACAACATTTCCACTCTTTTGGCGACAGCGAATATCCACGGCGTGCCAAAGGAGGGCAGCCGTACTGTGCAGTTGGGCTTCTCGTAAACGAAGGACAGGAGGTGTGAAGTAACATTGAACGGTAAGAGGTCCGGCGTTGTTAGACGATGATGGTCGGTAATTTGGGGACATCAAACAGAACGTAACAGGGTGGCCGTGAGGGAAATGTGTGTAAGCGACGAATGGTATATGCACGTGTTGGTGGGAGGACCATTTGCGAAGAGGTCTATTCTGGCTTTTTCCTCAATTCGAGTAGGAACTCGCACGCCTCCACATTGGTGGGGAACAGCAGGATGACGGGAGAGAGCAGTCCTTTGACGGTGCGCAACGTTTTTTTTTCTTTTTTTTGTGCATCCGCGAATTGGCGGAGAAAGACACCGAGAGACTCACAGCCGGCAACGTCACGCTTCCAACACCACCTGCTGCTGGCAAATCCACCCACAGAGTTGGAGGGTCAGACGGTATCCGGCGGTGCTGTGAAGGCTACCTCCGAGCGGAACGTTTGAGGCAAATTTTCGTTAACGATATGTAGGCGGGTACCTAAATGTGCATCCATCCGCGGTTACAAGGTCTGTTTCTCAGGCAGGAAGGCACAAGGGACACTGTTTCTGGGAATACCTCCACCCAGGATACGGTAAATCCACCATCACTTTATGCACCCAAGTTCCCCAGTACCTGCAGAGGAACAACTGCGAACCGACGAAGACGAATGATCCAAAAAAAGAAAAATGCGCAAACACTGCCTGCAACGGCAACGAAAGGCGATGGACTCAAATGATGATGCTGGATTATCCTGTGGGGATCATATCTCTTCCACGACGAAAGATGAAAAGGAGGAAAAAGGGAAGGTGGTGGCGAAAGAAGAGCCGACTGGTGATGGTGAATCGAGGTCGCCGCAGCAAGAGGCCACTGTGCGCCAAATGCGGCAAGGCAATCCGCTTACGGCTGAGAGTGAAGATTTGCCGTCCCATGTACCTGAGACCAGCAGTGAAAAACACACGACTGACCTCAAAGAAGAGGACGCTGCTCGCGAGACAACAGTGGGTTTAGATACCACTCCTGCTCCACACAATGGCGCCGAACGGAATTCCACGAAGGGCATCCCCAAGACTTCTTAGTCTGGTGCAGCTGAAATTCCTCTTGGAAACGATAAGGAGGGGCGCCACAGGGAGTCGACACTGCACCGGCTAATAAAAGCACCACATTTGAAACGGATACGATTTGCTGAACGCACAATGCAGCACCGTCCTCTGGTGACTGCAACGTTAATTTCTGGAACATTACTGGCTTGAGACTCCATGGAGGAAACGGTGGCACCACCGTGCATGCGTGTGTGCCTCGCGTGTTACTGCTTTTCCTGCTGGGGTTTTGGGGCATGACAGCCGTCATTTGAATAAAAAGGGAGGGGTGAATTTGCGAGGCCTCATGAAAAATGGCAAATTTTTGTTTCCCGGAGCTATTCTTTGCACTTTGAGGAATCTTTTTTTTTATTTTAAAATTTAGTTGCGGTGTTGAGTTTTCTTTTTCTTTAGGGTTTATTCTACAGCAAAGTGCTGCGACTTGTTTCCGTTTGTGCTGTGCACCACTGCCACTTTGTGTTACCGTGTCCGGTTGAGTGTCCTTCTGCCGGCTGTGCTGCTGACATGCCCCCGTTTCTTCTTCTTTTCTTCCCTGCTATAGGCACCGATTGTCCGCAACGACGATTGTTTGTGTTCCCCTCAGCGATGGGACGGGAGCGACGGGGTGCCCGGCTCGGCCTTCTGCCTCTTCTGCAAAGGGAGGGGACGGTGTGCGGCGTGCCTCGTTGTGTGTGCGGGGCACCATCCATTGCAGCCTGCTGTGCGGCATGATGCCAATCTGTGAGGACTGTGCCGTGGCCGACTGTGCCGTGGGCTTGGGTGCGCCCCGTTCTTCTCGTTGCGGCTGCCTGTGTGCTGTGCGCACGGCAGTTTCTTGCGGAGCAGCGTGGATGACGCTGCTTCTGCGTGCGTTGTGCGGCTGACTCCTTCTCCACGTTTCTTCACCCTCGCACGAGGGGGCGTCGTCCGTCATCCGCCCGTGCTGTTTGCTGCAATGTGCGCGCCGTTTCTTTCGTCCGTCCCCACACGCGTCTATTTGAGGGGTGCGGCTCCGAGTGCTCTTTCCGCCCGTTGTTTTGTACATCCGTCGTCGTCACGGGGGCGGTGCCACAGGAGCGGCGGCGGAGCGGCTGCGCTGGAGGGTGCGAGTGTCGCCAGGGACAAACGACTGGCGGCGACGAGGCGTGGGTGCCCGGCAGAGCGGTTGGGCCCTGTTGCATCCGGTTGGTTGTTTTATTTGGCAGCGAAGTGCCTCGCTTTCTTTCCTGACGGGCGTGGGACTCGCTCGGTGTGTGTGTTGCCGTGTGGCAGACGCGCCCCGCCGTGGTTTCTTCTGGCGGTGACGGTCACTGTGTTTTCTCGCCCCACTCCTTCCCTTTTCTCCGGTTGTCTCAGTGCGCGTGGATCGTGGCGGGGAATACTGCGGGACGATGATGATGTGATGACCCTCTCTCTCTGTGTGTGTGTGCGCAGACGGTGCCATTGTTTCTTTTTTGCTCCCGCTCTTTTTGCACCTTCTCACCTTTTACACACACACGAAGGAGGAAGGCGATCAAAAGCTAATTGCTACTGTGCACTTTGAAGGCACTGAACTGCACATCAACAACACTTCGACAAATTTACATAGACTCACGTGTTGCTGCTGTCAAGGTACCCGACGCACACACAACCGTTACCGTGTGACTGGATCCAGCGGAAGGAGGCGAGAGTGAACAACAACGACCCCAAATGTCCCGGCGTTTGCTTAATTCCGCGGCGCTGCTCCTTTTCTTTGTGTTGATGTGCCGCGGCGTTGACGCCTCCGGGGGTGCGGGGGAGCAGATGGAGTCGAAAGAGGTTGAACTCTTTAAACCAGGGGAAGTAACCGTGCCCGCTGCTGAAGAAGGGAGAGAAACGCTTGATGGTTATTCACATGTCTTATCATTCCACGGTCATTCCCTCGTTGACGTGAACGGCGCGATGCTTGCACTTGCCATTGGTGAGTATGGCGAAAGTTATGGCAGCATGTATTATAACATTTTGGCAAAATACAACTCGTACGGGGACGTCAGTAATTTGGAAAAAGACGTTACATGGGCGGCAAAACAGTGGACGCCGAAGACTGTGTTTGAGCAATTCGAAAAAGGCGGATACCGTACGTTTCTGTTTGGCCCCAAGGCTGTGGTGAAGGCGAACAAAATATTTCTTCTTTTTTCAAACTTTACCGGGCAGTCCAGTGTGCCTTTGCAGACTTCATATTCCTGGGACCTTGAGTTGTTTGTGGGTGACGTTACGGCGTCCACGGCGGTACCAGGGGGGAAAACAGTGTCGTGGGAGGGCCCACGGTCGTTGAAGTCCACGCTACTCACATTGATGGGGAAGCATTCATGGAATGTGTTGGAGGCCGCTCGTGGGGCCAGAGGCATTGCAGTTGGGGGCACGACGGTTGTCTTCCCTCTCGTGGCAGTCAGCGAGAAGGCAGAGAAAGAGGAGAGAACCTGCACAGTCATCTACTCCGAGGACGATGGGGACACTTGGACATTTCCGGACGCCGCTGCGATTGCTAATGAGTGTACAGATTTCACTCTCCTCGAGTGGCAGGGGAAACTTCTCATGGTCACCTCGGGTTCTTTTATTCCTCAGCAGCTCAGGGTGTACGAATCCGTTGACATGGGGAAGACATGGGCAAGGATGGTGGGGACATTCCCACGCCTGTTGAGTCAATTGGGTTTGTTCCCCATGCACCCCAGAGGCACTGACATCATAACGGCGACCATTGGGAGCAAGAGTGTGCTGTTGTACACCCAGATGTCGTTCGAGTATGTTCCAGACGATACACAAGGTGCACGCACAGTAATGCACCTGTTCCTCTCTGATTTTGTTCGCGCACATGACGTTGGACCAATATTTGCTGGTTCTTTTGACCCAAGCCTTTTCATCACCCTGCTGCACAAAAAAGGCGAGTTGTTTGCTCTCTACGCGAAGTATGGTGAGGATGGAGCATCAGGCGGTCTTTTTTTCACGCGCCTCACGGAGCAGATGCGGCAAATCAATTCCTTGCTGCGAACTTGGAAAGCTGTGGATGACAGGGTCTCAACGCTTTGCAGCTCCAGTGCCGGGAAGAGTGCATCAAAAGATGCTGCCTGCGTTGGTCGCCTGCCAACGGATGGGCTGGTTGCTTTCTTTTCTGACAATGGCAACAGCACTCACTGGAATGACGAGTACGGTGGTGTGGGAGCGACGGTGTCTGAGAAGGGGGTGAAGAAGGTCTATAATGGCTTTGAGGTGACAGGGGTTGATGCACATATTTTTTGGCCGGCCGGCAGTAATTATAATAATGTACTGTACAGTCCCCGATATGAGGAGCTTACTGTTGTGGCGACGGTGACCATCAACGAAGCCCCAGAGAACATCACACCTTTGCTGGGCGTGAGCGTGGTGGGCTCAACCTGGAGAGAACTGAATCTGTGGTACGACGAGCATAAGCACTGGAGGACGGAGGCAGGGGAAGGAAAGGGTGCAGGAACAATTGCGTGGGAGGCGGGGAAGGCGTACCGAGTGGTGCTCACGGTGCGGAACGGTGAATGCAGGGCGTACGTTGATGGGCAGCTTTTGGGGAGTTTGGTGGAGAAACACCCATTTACTTTGGGAACTCCTCCTAGGGATGGGGTGCCTGCGCAGGAGAAGATACCTGAAATGGTCTCTCAAATCTTTTTTGGGAGTGACGGGGTAAACCTGGAAGGAACAGTAGGCTGCTTCACAGTGAGGAACGTCTTGCTGTACGGCCGCTGCTTCAATGACAGTGAAGTTGCGGCACTGGAGAAGCGGGAAGACAGCGATTCGTCGGGAGCAGCCGACACCGACTCCGCGAAGGGCAAAGCAACCGGCGGTTCTGCAGGGGAAGACAGCGATTCGTCGGGAGCAGCCGACACTGACTCCGCGAAGGTCAAAGCAATCGGCAGTTCTGCAGGGGAAGACGGCGAGTCGTCGGGAGCAGCCGACACTGACTCCGCGAAGGTCAAAGCAATCGGCAGTTCTGCAGGGGAAGACGGCGAGTCGTCGGGAGCAGCCGACACTGACTCCGCGAAGGGCAAAGCAACCGGCGGTTCTGCAGGGGAAGACAGCGATTCGTCGGGAGCAGCCGACACTGACTCCGCGAAGGGCAAAGCAACCGGCGGTTCTGCAGGGGAAGACGGCGAGTCGTCGGGAGCAGCCGACACTGACTCCGCGAAGGTCAAAGCAATCGGCAGTTCTGCAGGGGAAGACAGCGATTCGTCGGGAGCAGCCGACACTGACTCCGCGAAGGGCAAAGCAACCGGCGGTTCTGCAGGGGAAGACAGCGATTCGTCGGGAGCAGCCGACACTGACTCCGCGAAGGGCAAAGCAACCGGCAGTTCTGCAGGGGAAGACGGCGAGTCGTCGGGAGCAGCCGACACTGACTCCGCGAAGGGCAAAGCAACCGGCGGTTCTGCAGGGGAAGACAGCGATTCGTCGGGAGCAGCCGACACTGACTCCGCGAAGGGCAAAGCAACCGGCGGTTCTGCAGGGGAAGACAGCGATTCGTCGGGAGCAGCCGACACTGACTCCGCGAAGGTCAAAGCAATCGGCAGTTCTGCAGGGGAAGACAGCGATTCGTCGGGAGCAGCCGACACTGACTCCGCGAAGGTCAAAGCAACCGGCAGTTCTGCAGGAGAAGACAGCGATTCGTCGGGAGCAGCAGCGGCAGACCCAAAAAACACATCCGTCCCAATCACAAAGGGGGTTGGGAGCACAGTGGTGAAGGGGGCTGTCAGTGGCGACAGCACCGTCCGTGGGCATCTGTGTGGAGTGCTGTCCCTGCTTCTGCTTCTGCTGGGGCTGTGGGGCGTTGCGGCCTTCTGTTGAATGAAGCGAGGAACGGTACAATTGCGACTTTTCGTGTAAAAACGAAATTTGCAGCCTCCCAGTACCACTCTCCGAATTTCTTTAATATACCCATGTTTGCTTTTTCTTTCTTTTTTTGTCTGCTGTTTGTGCTTGTTGGGTTCAGTGGCATCCCTTTTTTCTGTTTTTTTTTTTTTTGTATTGTTGTAATTTTTGCCTGTTATGCTCAGCCATGACTGCCGTTTTTTTTTTTTTTTTTTGGTTCTGTTGCCCACACGCGACGACGGCCTTTTTGTTGCGCGTCCCACGTACCGCACAAAAGAGGACCGGAGGAACAGGCCGGATGTCGCAATAAAATGTAGAGAATGTTGTGCGGGCTGGTGGAACAATGCAGTGTCTTTTCTTTTTTGCGGGCAATATATGTATACACCCAGTCCCTCTGTGCTTTGGGACAGATGAAATGCAAACCGCTGCTAAGAGATACTTTTCCATTTTTGTTTTCCGGGAGTCCTGCTGGACTCACACTCTTTTTCTTTTTTCTTTTTGGTAACTCGCTGCGACTTGTTTCCGTTTGTGCAGTGCTCCACTGCCACTTTGTGTTACCGTGTCCGGTTGAGTGTCCTTCTGCCGGCTGTGCTGCTGACATGCCCCCGTTTCTTCTTCTTTTCTTCCCTGCTATAGGCACCGATTGTCCGCAACGACGATTGTTTGTGTCCCCCTCAGCGATGGGACGGGAGCGACGGGGTGCCTGGCTCGGTCTTCTGCCTCTTCTGCAAAGGGAGGGGACGGTGTGCGGCGTGCCTCGTTGTGTGTGCGGGGCACCATCCATTGCAGCCTGCTGTGCGGCATGATGCCAATCTGTGAGGACAGAGCCGTGGCCGACTGTGCCGTGGGCTTGGGTGCGCCCCGTTCTTCTCGTTGCGGCTGCCTGTGTGCTGTGCGCACGGCAGTTTCTTGCGGAGCAGCGTGGATGACGCTGCTTCTGCGTGCGTTGTGCGGCTGACTCCTTCTCCACGTTTCTTCACCCTCGCACGAGGGGGCGTCGTCCGTCATCCGCCCGTGCTGTTTGCTGCCATTCCCAGTACTTCTGCATGGCGGCTTTGCTGCTTGCGGTCTCTGCGTACTGCATGGCTCTGTGGTACGTGGAGGACCGCCACTGGCAGGAGCTGCGCGAGCCGCAGCGTGGTGGGCTGGAGGCGCTGCTGCGCGATGACGAGGAGAGCGCCGAAGAGACGCAGAAGCCCTACAACGTGACGTTATCGTCGTATGCCTCAGGCACCACCCGCACGTCGTCGTACCAACCACCTGCACCGCCGTTGCAACCCATGGCTGGTGACACCTGCTCAGACTCGCTGAGCCTGCTGGACCGTGCATCCAGTGCGAGCCGTATGATTGATTACGCTGCCATGTGACGTGTAACACGCGGAATTAGTAAGTATGCGGTGATGGTTGGTATGCGGGAAGGATGCGGGGCCACTTCTGCAATGCGCAGCACAGCCATCGATTGTTCACTGCACTGGCAGCCTCGCTGTTCATTTGTTTCTTTTTTGGCTTACCTCTATTTTTTGCTGAAATGTACATTTATTATTATTATTGCGTGATGGAGGCCACTTTGTGCTGTCACACTGTGTGGATGGCTCTCTTGTTGTGGTTGTGCAGTCATGTCTGTGCGTATTTTCCTTTTTTTTCTCTTTCTCTCTTTATTCTATTTTCTTTTTTTTTTCTTTTTGATTGGTGGTTAGTGTTCAGCTTTTAACTCAATCCAACTGCGAAGACAAGGAGAAACAATGCCTGGAGAGCGCAAGAGAGTGCACGGGGATGACAATGCCGAGAGTCAAGCGTCTGCTGTGCCGCAGGGAGATCGTCCGACGAGAGCGAGGCCGGAGTCCCATGGCGACACGGATCAACCCGCTGCGACCCACATAAGAGTGGAGGAACCACGGCAACCGCAGTGGACTCTTGAAAGTCGGCTAGATAAAGTGCTGCTGGAGGGAAAGGAACGCATCACCAACATGAGGCTGAATGATTTCCTTCGGAATTATTTTGGCGGCAGGGGCGTTGAGGAATTCAATGAGAACGTCTATATGAAGGATGTTTTGGGTAGCCCCAGTGAGTTCATCCAAGAAGAAGTGTTATTGAGCACAATAAAGGCATCGCCACCATACCAAGAGCTGAAAATAGAGCGTGAGGAGTTTTACATGCTATTGGAGGCCTTACATAACCTTAACAGAGAATATATTATCACTCTCAGGCAGTGGAGGGACTTTAAAAGAAAGGATACGGTCATTCCTCTTGCAAGGGCACAAATAAACACAGCCTATTCTCAGGCACTGAGAGAAGAGAGACGGAAGGAAGAAGAAAGGGAAAGGCGAGAACGACAAGAACTGGGAATTGACGTTTCCACTGGGATTAATTATGCGGTGTTTAAAGGAAGGGTTTGCGTGGATGAAATGAAGCTGAATGACTTTCTTACAATGGAATTGGACGGCAAGGGCGCTTTGGACGCCAATCGGGATGTCTTACTGGAGGAGTTTTTTAAGGACCCCAAGAAGTACATTTGCGATGCGGGAGTATTGAACGAAATACAGGCATCCGATCATTATGCGAGGATGGGGAGGGCTGTAAGGGATGAAATGGATATGGAAGAGGATGTAAACAAGCTTTACGAGAAAGGTGTGGACAATCTACTGAAGTGGTTGGTGGCTACTGCGGAGGTAAAGGCAAATGTTCAAGAAATCACTAAAAGGTTCCTGGATGCAGCCGCCGAGGAAGCGAGGAACCCAAAGAAGCCGAGCGCACCGAGGTACCTGGAGGGATTGTACGAGTCTGTGTACAATGCGAGGTGGCACCATGTCGTGGAAGTTCCTGACGGCGAGGGGACGGGAATGGAGGTGAGGGAGGGGGAACCACCGCAGCCATGGACGTACAAGGCAGTTGGCGAATTTCTCGAAAAGGATGACGGTGTGGGGCAGTCCGGTGCACCGCGTCCCAGGCTGCTGGTGCTCACCTCGGACAAGGGATGGCCGTACTCGTGGGAGGAGGATGAATCCCTTCGTGACTGCCATGTGAACTGTGAGGTGGAGCGATTCTGGCAGACCGTCAGGAATGACCTGACCGAGTGGTTCAGCACTGACCCTGAGGCCTACTTTACGCCTATGCGACGTGTGTTGATTGGGACGCCCGGGATCGGGAAGTCGATGAATGCCGGCTCGTACCTCCTCTACCAGATGCTGCACTGCGATGCGGAGAAACTCCAAGTGGTTGCGTACAGTTTTGGTGGAAGCACGATGTACGTGTTTGACAAGACCATCAAGACGGTCACAAGATACGTGGGTAGAGGAGCATCCAAGGAATTTTTGCGGCATTTGAGGATGAATGGGTATGTTATTTACGATGTGACAAGGCAAGGGACACCGCCCGACGCAGGTTTTGCGCCCTATGTTGGATGGGGCATGATTGTGGTGTCATCGCCAAACGTGGGCAACTATGATGAATGGGAGACACAAGAAGGAGCGGCGCGAAACATCGTGAATTGCCCCGCCGAGATGGATGTGAAGGCGATGTGTGCATGGATGAAGCGTGACGAGACTTCGGAGAAACAGGCGGAGTGCTGGAAGATGGTCAAAGAACGCATGGATAAAGTGGGGCCGATTCCACGTCACGTCTTTGATGCGAATGAGTTCATTGCACACTCTGCTGCCATTGAGGATGCCTAGAAGGGATCAAGTCCCGG